CAATAACCGCGCGCTTTTCTAAGGCTGGAGCAGTGTAGGCAGGACTGAAACACCTTTGGTGTAGACGTGACGTTTCACTGAAGTTGAAAGGTCGTGTGTATTGTGCTAGCGTTCGTTCAGTCCTGTTTCATGGTTGTGAGACTCTGAATTTGCGAGTAGAAGATATCCGTCGACTAGAGGTTTTCCACTATCGGAGTTTACGTAGTTTATCCCACGTGGGGTGGAGCGAACGGGTTAGTAACTTAGAAGTAAGCTGTCTTGTGTTTGGGAGTCTACCAGGGATAAACCTTCTAGCACACCGAATTCAGATGGGTAGACTTCGTTGGCTAGGGCATATATTGCGTATGCCCTACAATCGTCTGCTGCACCGCGCTTTATTCGCTGTAGCTAATCCGGGCTGGAGGAAACCACGTGGAAGCCAACAGATGACGTGGAAACGACGCATGAAGAAATGCGCAGAGCCGTTAGGTAGAGTAGGTATCTCTCGCCTTCCAGGGTCCGGAAGACCCTACAACTGGTTGGTTGGAGACATTGAAGGATATGACAGCGAATCAACAGGAGTGGCGTTCTTGTTTTTGTTTTTTATTAGGTCAGAATGCTTGAAACCCTATGTATGCATAGTTTGATTGCGTACTCTGAGTGTGGACCAAAAAGGTTCCCCTTCGTCCCTGTACCTCAAACTAGGTCCAATCCCTGTCCACCTTACATTTTACCGCCAACCATGTATGCATTGCAAGTTTGGCAGCGATCAGTGCATTCCTCTTCCCTGTATTTCGCTCTACGATGATGATGATGATGATGATGTTACAAGGGTTACATGCGGACACGGGTTAGCACGACGGAAGTGCCCTACTTTCAGAATATGCTCTGCAGAAGGAACACCACAGAAGAGGTATAGGATAAGCTGAACATTTATAATCGTAATTTCCATGCGGTTTCCGCTGTTACCTACGCAAAGTTTAAGCCGTACGATAGAATGACTAATGGAGCTAATACGAATTTCGTGTTCTTGATCTGCCTTTAAAATCTGTCGAATTTTCCAATTTTGTTTAAGAGACTCATTTGCTATGCGGTAATTATACTACCGACAATTAATGAGTAGGTAAACCAGCTGACTAACAAACATAGTCAGCCCTCTGCATACGTATCACCATGTCTCTTCGTTTCGGACATCGTGGCAACCTGTTTGTCAGAAAGGCGCGATGAATATTTTAATCACTTTCAACAGAACCGTCGTGGTGGTTTCACAGATAGAACTCAAAACGTTTGTAATGCGACGCAAATGAAGTTGCGCACGGCGTTTAATTTACCAAGGCACTGTTCGTGTTCCCGTGACATTGGAACCGCGTTACCTGGAACTGGAATGCCGCTCACAAAATAAAGGCAGCGGGGTATTTTTATCTTGGTTTCAAATAAACAGATTTATGTTGAATAGTGACGTAAAACCACCTGCTGAGGATGGTTTGAACGGTCTAGTACAAGTGTGGAATTCAATACAGAGAATAAGTTCAACAACCATCTGTGCTGAACATAAGTTAGTTTTCATTATTTCGTATCTTCTCATTTGAATTTCGGTCTATGGTCCTTTAAAGCTGGTTGATTTTCGAATCACATTCATTTTATATATTTTTCAACGCATTATTTAAAAGGATTTTGTTCTAATATAAATTTTTTTTATCAGATATTATCTGCTTATTCTCCGTTAAGGATTGATTCATAATATGCTATGGTATTGCACTTCTTATGTTCCTTCTCGCATCCATTGAAGCGAATTGTGGGACGATTTAGAAAAAAAAAATTTTCTGGCTAAGAAATAACATTCGCTAACTAGTGAAAATGTATATAACTGTTCATCGGTTTCAAGCCCAACAGCCTGATTTAAACATATGTTATAAACTGTAATCATCATGACTTCCACCAAGTACGTTTAGATGCAACTTGGATGGGGTAGTTTCACGGCTCCAAATCAGTTCCAACCATTCATCCCATGCATTGAACTCTAATTGAAGAAGCGGATGTGTGGTGACGTCTAAAATAAAATTGAGCTAAAAAAGGATTTCAAACGAAAAGGTGAAGGGCGACTGTGGTGGTTCTAATTTTATCGCCCCAATCAGAGTCGATCATGATGAGATATTTTTAAATAGCAATCAGTTCCATTGGTTATGAAATACAAAACGAATCGTTCAATCTTATTTCATTGGTTTCTGACACATTATCCTTGGCACACTTTCTGTTAGTGCCTTCTGAGGTTTATAGGACTAATTCACGTAAAGATTCATGCATAACATCAGCTGATTGCGTAGCAGGCCACTAAAGCATAAAGCTGGTTGGTTTGGGCCACAGAAACATGAGTAACACATAATCATGATTTTAACCTCAGACTGTGTGGCCACTCTTCCGGCATGGTGCGCTGTACAACATTTGTTATGTTGAACTTCAGAAACCAATGTTCTCGAACTAAGTTATCATTGTTTTTATAATTTGCTAAATTTGTTTCGTAATGCTATTCACGAAATAAACGAGTCCGGACCGAGGAGCACACACGCGGATGAAGGGATGTAAAAATCGGTGGAGAATAACAAACAGAGGAAGAAAAACACAGAGAAAAGCTGGGTTGGTTTGTCATTTCTGTTTGAACTTCATCAGTGAGCCCCCAACGTAAACATTTTCATTTCAGCGTGGTCATAAAACACTCATCTCCATCAACTGTTGTTGTCGGTGTTCATCAGATTCGGGCAGTGTATGGTCCAGGAGATCAATTCGGTTCATAGACCAATTAATTTTTTTCAATTTCTTGATATTATTCTCGCTTTTGCTACCCAGAAAATTACGTGGTACGTTAATAAAAAAAGCTACTTGTTTAAATCATTTTCATCATTGAATGTGCGTACGAAAAGCATTCAAGTGTATAAATGACAGTGCAGAAAGTAGTCTACCGTTTTATATACGACGGTTTTAAGTATTTTCGATGGTCTTGTGAAATCCAACTGAGATGTATAACTAGACCCCAACGGTGCACACTACTTGACTACTACGTTATATTGCATAGCTGCGTCTTGAACTGGAAGCTGTTACTTTTCCACTTATTAGCCTGATCACAAGAATAGTTGTCATGGAGAGGTGAATATTTTTCCTTCGACATAGATATTACTTTAAATTTATGTTAGCACTCACAGTTTTACAGCAGTGGTGCCGTAGCACAAAAAGGTATTGTTAACGAAATATTGATGACTGTTGCGTACTGGTATGATAATACCTTAGGAGCAGTCAGTGCTATGTGCTATGTATGTGTCAATGGTATTGACCATGGAGAGCGGGCGGTTTGTTCTGCGTACGACGCGTCACCATAACTGCAGGTAAACTGGTATACAATGTGTCAGACGGAACCGGTTTGCAGCCATATTTACGTTCACTCAAATCCATTATACGAGTACAGGCAATGGGCAGCCAAGTGGGTCTCATTTGGCAGATGTGTTTCTAGGACTGACTGAGAAAAACTGAGTGATAATAGTTGACCTTGAATTTCTCTATTTATTAATCTTCGTATGCTTGCACAAGTTCATTCAGCATAATTGAATTACTCCGTGTGTATATATGATTTAAATGAACGACTGCTAAGATTGAACGAAATGTTAGCGTCTTGTGACATTTGCCCTCCTTCTGTATTGATGAAATGGATAAATGAGATTCAATGCTTCAAATTTGGAATCCATCTAAATACTTTGCTTGAACTATCTCATTTATTTCACCTTCCCGACAAACTCTAAGTTGGCCCCAGATAGTTGACCCGCTATAGTTAAAATACAGATTTTCATATGGAACAAATTTTCACAACAATGTTTGCGTGTCTGTGTACTACACAGTACTGTATTTCGAGATTCGCCTGATAACTCAAGGGATTTTTTAGTCCGATATCGCTTAATGAACATATTGGTGTTTGTTTAACTATATTATCCACTTTCCATTTCCCATGACCCCTTACCAAGTCTGCTTTCGTCATCTTGTGGTAAAAAAGTAGTTGCAAGCCCACGAAGCACGTGTATTATTCATAATAATATGTGAATTATAACATGTGATCCAACTGTGTGTGATTTTTGGGCGAGAAAGTGTTCATATTCTCAATTTGTAGCAACGTCTAAATATACAATCGCATAAAATTGCATCCACGAGTCGGGTTTGATCGAAATTTGAAATCGGTTCATCGAAAAACATTGAAAAAATAAGGTGGTTCGAATAAAATAAAGAACTGGCAGTTTCAGCGAATGAAAATTGTCAATTGAGCGCTCATCATTTTTCATTCGTTTGTGGTGCGAATTCGGGAGATTTCCGTGGTGCTGAAATAGACACATTGACAGTGAAAGAAAAGGGAAAAAATAACATCTATTTATTTTTTGAGGATTGGTACAATAAAAAACTCAATAAAACTTGAAAATTCACTTGTGCAGAATGTACTATTTCTCTCCAACCTTATTAGTGACTTGTTGGTAAATTCGAAGTAACGAGTCTCAATATTTCAATATCATTGTTTCAAAGGAAACTCACGTTTTCACCTGACGATTTATTTCCCCAGACCAAGAGGTCTGTGAATGTACTGTGTGTTCATATGGACTTCCGTTTCTAACACGGTATTCCTAGGGGTGGTTTTAAAAGACAAGAAGACGCCTTCAGATTCTACAAAAATTGGGATCTATTACAGATAAGTCAGTTAGCCGAATGTTAGAAGCAACGGAAACTGTTGTATTTCAGTTGAAAGCATTTGTTTGCTTCTTTTCAGCTGAACAAATGGTACCTCAAAGAGATGGGGATTCCCATCTTTTCGACGGTTCCGAAAATTGTAAAAGTCGACTCACTTTGTGACTTTCTCGCGGAGAAGCACTCGATGTGGATAGAGTATACGAAGGGGAACGTGGGGATGTTGGCGGTCTCCGACTCATTGATTGTGGAACTGTATGTGAATTGCGGATGGGAAGGTATGATGAGGATCAGGGTATCGAGGCTATATTTGCTTTTATTTAAAAATTCTGAATACCATTCTACCATCATTCAAATGAAATGAAATGGGTATCACCAGTACAACTTCTGACGTATAGCTGTGAGATGCAGAGCTTTAGGCACAAGAACACGTTTTTCTTGGTAAATATGCAACAATTCAGCTTAGGTGTCCGGAGTTTGCACTTTGTTTATGATGGACTTTGATTTAATTCATGAACAATAGTCCCGCATCAGCCACAGTTGTCAAACATAAGTGACCACTCTAAAAACTTGACAGATTGCATATGCTCCTCTGTATGGGGAAACGAATTCTTATATTCCGTGATCGATTCTTTTCACCGGAATATAAACAAATACGATTGCTTATTTTTTTAAAGGACACTTCCAATCTACACATTGTGTTTACACACTGTTTGGCTGAAAACTGCTATGTTATCCAAGGGGTTCTTGATGCATATTCTCTCCGTATAATGTCTAATGGACTAATCAAAAGCTGAATAATATGTCATACTCATCTGTTATAAAAACGCGACCACAACTGTAGCCATCCATTTCTGTTTGAATGTCTTCATTTGATCGATTGAAATTGCCTGAAATTCAGATCATATTCTTGCAAGACAGCAGTTCACTACCTTAGTCGTATCCCTGTTTTCTGCATGCTTATCAACTGTCTACATGGGTATCTTAATTTAGTCACAGAAGAAATAGTTAAGTTTCAGTCACAATCAATTTTACAACTTATCTAAATCAAAAGGATTTAGTAATGCCGGAAGGCGCTCTTTTGATCACATTTTTCTCGTTCTTTTGTTGTTATTTGGGCTCAGAAAGTAACTGAATTCAGGTTGTGATGGAGGACAAAATACCCAGCATACCTTCTTAGTTTAACTTACCTTGTAATGAACTGCTGGAACTGTCCCGTGTTGATTCGTGGTATTGTTCCTGTACAAAAGCTGCAAAGCAAGATAAATTCAAAGTTTACAGCACTTCCCTCGGGAAAATAGGATCAGAATGAATCACTATGCAAGGATGGGACATTTTTGCATTGGTTTAGCCGTTTCTATCTGCTTTCCTTATTGGTCGTCATCATGGAATTCTAGACGAATGCGACTGGCGGTTCGTTATTCAATGCTATATATATTTAACCGCTCTCTGTATCCCTGTTTATTCGACTTGCTTTAGTCAACACGGTAAGCAACACTACATTTATTGCATGGTAAGTCTACATGCTTTTCTGATCGAGGGTGGTCGGAATGATGTGAACTATGACATCATTTCATGAAGTTCCTTGACACGGGCGAAATGGTCTTGGTGCTTAATAGGATGTGAAGGCGTTAAGTCTTTTGTTGTGCTTTTGCTAATGTCGATTTCGGCACTATAACTCGCAGTGACTCCGTGCAATCAAGATCACTCTTTTAAAGAAAATTAGAGCAATTTTTTTCCGGAACGAACGTGAAGAGAACACAAATTAGATTTTAGTTGAACAACTTATTTTCATAAATTTTTGTGAATTATTGTGAACAATAATACTATGCGATCTGTAGTGCATGCATTTTATGACAATCAAATTTACCCTGATACAAATCATTCAACATAAATCTACTTCATTCTCTCTTTAAGAGCTTTTTGTTCGATATCACCTTCAGTGAGGTATATTGTATCTTCTCTCGTTGTTTTTGTAGTTGTTGCTAGTGTTACTGGTGGTGGTGGTTGCAGTAGCGTTTCGGTATATTATCTCGAACTAGCTGTGATGATGTTGCCCACGGTCACCTGACCTCATTCTTTGTTTCAAGCTCCAAAACAAGGTGTTCTTTAGCTTAGTCCGAATAAAACCTTCATTACAAAGATGCCTTCTTTCGATGATTTTCTGCGTTGTCTTTGTTACTTTACGGTCGATTGTACTCGAAGTATTTTTGTGTGTGTTCTCATCCGATACACAGCTATTTTGTTTTACCTGCTCGCGGGATCCAATGTACTATAGATAAGAGTAAATAAATATAAATTTAAAGGCAGCAACAAAAATCTGCAATCAGATATATGGAATTGCATGAGGTTTCATTTAGTTCTATTGAATGGAGGTCCGACTGGTGAAACTCGCCATTTTACCCGACGTTTATTACTCTTTATTTTCTCGTTTTGTTCACTTCTGCTCATATAATTCTGTCCATAACTAGTCCATAGAGCTGAAAGTTTAGAATTACCATGAAAACCGAGTCCACTACTACTACTACTACTACTACTACTACTAATAATAATAATAATAATAATAATAACAATAATAATAATAATAATAATAATAATAATAATAAGACAGGAGAACTACAAAACGAGTTTAAACATCTTTTCCTCCAACTTTTTCGTTCCCCTTTTTGGCTCCAACAACCTTTTCCCGCGATCTATTATTATAATTTTTGTGACGAAATATCAGAGGGCGATACTTTAGTTCGTTGTAACATTATTGCAAACAAAGTCAACCACATCATGAAACGCAACTTTCCTGATAGATGAATGATTTATCTGGCCTTGTCAATAGTGTGTGAAGTATTTCCGTTTTATACCATTATCAGGCTTCCAACTCGTGATCCCTGGAGATTTTGAACAAATGGGGTTTTACTGAATAATAATCACTCTAGGACCGTGCACCGTTAAGTTCTTCAATAACTGGTTGTTCTGAATTTACCAGTGGCAAATATATTCATCAAGAACCCGTATAAACTGAATATGTTAAGTGTGACAGTACTGAATGTCTTCAAGTCTTGTCAAACAAACACATTATTGGTAAGGCTGCACCGCTATTTCTCTCTTTTTATCATTTATACTACTGTTGGTTAAAACAGCAGCGGTACAGAATTTCCACGAATGAGTTTTTTCTACACCCGTTCATATTGCCGTACAATGTTATCAAAGTAGCCTTGTTTTTATTATTCATAATACCGATGGTTAGAAGACTGTTTTTTGACATTGTTCTGCAATATAAAAGGTTCGGTACACCGAGGGAAGAGCGTTTACAAGTGCAAGAAAAGCAACAGACACGCAGTTGTGCTTCTGTGTGTGTGCTTGTCAGCTTCATTTTACACAGCCATCATTGCACAACCTCAATGGCACGACCACAGGCCACTCACCTGGACCGGTGGAAACCTTCACTATACCGATCGGCCTAGCAGGCGAAATGCCTGTATCATCAATGGTCAGCGTGTTGTCATCCTGAAGAAAACAGAATGTGCATATCGTTGGATTGATAGAATAACCGAATTTTGATTGATGAAAATATTTCAATAATCCGACTGCTTACTTACTTCACTGGAAAAGTGCCTGATGTGTTCAGACGAAACTTCTCGTCTAGTAGTTTTATTTACTGATTAACGAAAAAAATAAGGTGAAATGATCAGTTTATACTGACAATCCACATCAACAAAAAATAGTTGTATTGAGGTAAGAAATACGTGTGAGATTTTTAACCCAGATACGTCTGTCTCGCGAATATTGGTTTGTTTATTTTGTGGTAAGAACCTTTTATTCACCACGTCATTAGCCTAGCTCTTATATGCGTATCATGGGGAAGAAAACAATGGTAGCTTATTTCATCAGCTGAGCACCAGATAAGCACTCAAGTAATCAGGGATTTGTGAAAGGCCACAGTGTAAGCTTAAGCTAAATAGTTCGTTAGACTGAACAAACACCTAAATAAAGCTTTGAGCAATTTTAACAGGGCGTTCTGTCTAATGTGCCTTGAAAAATAAACTTAATAAACTTTAATAATGAGTATTTAGCCATGCTAGATTTCTAAGCGCAATAAAACTGTTAGTACTGTTAGTACTTTCCGTCATCTATAATTCTTTCCGTTCAACGCTGATTCAAAACTATCAGAAAAACTCCGTCGTGATGATAAATGTTTGTGAGAGGCCATTACTCCCCTAAATTGAAGCAAACGTTTGGGTCTTATACATCATCTGGCATCTAAATGTATGCACTTGTATCAGTATCATTTTTCCCAAGTGAATCTAGGACATAACAGCCAAGGTTGAAGAAAACTTGACATTCTTTGGAACTGTATCATTATAAATGATCAATTCGATCTTCAATTTCATTGGATGAGTCACGTGACCACCAAATGAAGTTTACAGTCTGATCAGAAAATACTCTTGATACATTCACTGAGTCGGCATCCCCTGGTGACAAGCGAATTAACGCCCCCGGAAAGTCTGTAGACATTTCACTGATCGATATTGCATGGAAAAATATCGGGTAACCCTCTGCATGACGACAGGAAACAATCAGAAACCTATTGACAGATAACAGACATCTGTGTTCCTTTTATTCATAAGCAATCAATACCCTGTTGTTGAGATACGATGGCAGTAATCAATGCTCTCCGTAGTGCCTCATTTATCAAATGAATGACAAAGCCAATATATCCGGGAGAAAGAGTGTACCAGAAGTTTACTGTTGCCAAAATTATAAAAGAATAATTGAATAATTAATCACCCATCGGTATGATAAATTGTCAGACAAAGAATCAAAACATACATTCACTCAATGCGATCAACAGTGGTAAACTCACTTTTACCAACGCTGGAAGATAGATAGTGTTTGTTGCAAAGTATGGCGCCTTGCAGGACATGCATTGTATCAACGCTGAAACAGTGAATGAAAAATACAGCACAGAATTACTTTCAGGTACCGTCGCAGACCAAACTTCGGAGGGGAACAATTGTCAAGATGTCAATGATTAGAGTGTTGAATGGAAGTAGTGTGCCAGTGTATTAAACGACTCATGTTTTTCATGCCATAAATGTGCATGTGGTTCACGAAGGGTGAGTGTGAATAAAGATAAACTACATGGTATTTTGTGTCCACCTGCAATGTACGATCGGGGCCATTATAAATTGATGGGCAAATGTTGAGCCACTGAAAATAACATACAGGTTAAAATCCATTTTTGAAACAGTACATGAACATAATGTAAATTGATGGGTTACAGGTATTGTAATGAATTTTACAGGTACCGATGCCTATATTTCATTCAACAATATATGTTAACTGGTTATGTTAGGAAAAATGATGAAAGTGACAAAAATAACTCTGATAGAGATAGAGTGAAAGTGGATAAGTTATTTGGACTTATAATAAACCTTTCTATCGGTTATAGGGCTAGCTGAATAGATTACCGTTCAACTGTTATGTTTGTACGGGAAGCCAAACAGAAAAAACTAGATCTGATTGTGACATCGTAAGAACGTTTTCCGACAACTAAGTTTTATCAAAGTACGAGGTCAGGCAATGAGGTAACACGAAATCGATGTAAATGACTAATGGCTTCACTTGACAAGCAATTTTAACATGTTAATGTGAAAAGAAAGGGATGGAAAATTGCCATTAAATGGGCAGCCATTCAGTGGGAACGTTTTCCTACAGTCATACATTGTGGATTCCCATTCAGCTAATGGAGGTTTACAGTAATGCATGAAGTGCCTGCCTGTAGGAATCACAGTCTGCTTTCTAACAATAAGGATAATGTCTTAGTGTTTGACAGAAATTTTAAAAACGTAGACACCCACAGTTTGAAAATGAACTGCAAAATGAGTGAATAAAACACAGATGAACAACTAAAGGTGCAAACATTCCAACGACGCGTTACTTAAGACACGACAAAAATTAGTTCAGTAATCGATGTGTGTGTGTACAGAACTGGGTGATGCTAATTGCTAGAGTTGAGAAACCACCGTGAAATTAGTTTTACATAGACCCACAGTGACTGTGGTCCCACTTACCACTATTTTAGTGTTGTATTAGAAGTTGGCGTATTGTACGTAAACTGTCTCAAATCAGGAAATGAATTTGGACACAATCATCGAGCTGGGTTTCCGGACTCGACTTCCGCGTAGATCATATGCAGTCCAATTTCGGTGTGGTTTGTACTCTACTAATCGCTATATTTTATTATTGTTTTGTGTTTTTCATGTTGTCCACATTTTTATGGCAAAAGGGGAAATTGAAATTGACTTGTACTAGTGATGCGACCCACACTTTTCAAAACATTCATTCCCTGGTTTGCGTAAAATCCCATCACTCATCAGTGTTCGTCTGCATACGCAATCCTCTCAACAAGACTTAATATACAAGTGAGGGCAGAGCTGATACAATACATGATTTTGGGCTTTAGATTAGAAATTATTCATAGTAGGATCCACGATCTGTGCCTCAGTAACAAAATTATTAATATTCAATCCATTCACTGGTTTAATTATTCTATCCAGGATTCACGAAGAAAACCTCAGTGAAATTAATAACCCTTAGAAACGTTTATGACAAAGGCGACAATTTCAACGGTTTTATTTCCATTGAGAAAAACAAGAGATTCCCATAAAAAGTGGAGACAAAGTTTGTAGGCCAAGTGAGCGCAAGTTTGATCGCAAATGTAAGTTTGATCACAAATGCTTCCGATAACTCAGTCAGAGTCATTATGAGAGCTGGTCACATGAACTTACGTCAGCGGCTGATGACAAATTTCGCAACGTATGCATGTATCATGATAGATTCGACTCTTGTGGCTCACTTTGACCGACGGGTAGACAATTTTACCGCAAACAACACAGTGGTGTTCGGGTCCAATTTTGGACTGTAATTCCGATAAGTGACGGGGAATGGGGTGAAAAGAAAGTTAGGGTTATTTATTTTCCTGTGTTATTGATCCCTGTTATTCCGTATCAGAAATGATCAGAAATGCTCTCTGCCTAACATGTTTACATTCACGAATATGGTTCTGAGTATCAAGGGGACCCGAAATCATGGAACTTCCAGTTGTGCTTACGTGATTACTTAGCGTTAGTGGAAGCAATCTTACTATTAAGCAGTCTAATTAGCGCCATCTGGTCACCCCATATATATACTTCATAAATTGGACAGTTCGGTGGAGATAGCGTTTTCACCGAACGATCGCGTACATATATAAGCAGAGCGTTATACCAGGATATCTTTTATTTCAAATGTGCAATCGTTGTAACCATTTCTCCCCACTCTTTCTTCCATAAATACTTCACGTCTGTGCCCTCTTTAGATTTTACAGAATATATCATACTGAACTGCTTGAGAAACACATTTATGCCTTGACAAACAAATTTGACATGATTCGGGTGGAAAACTATTACTCGGATTCACTTTTCTCCAACTTCACACGTTAGCGCTTGACGAAGATAAGTCAACAAAACCACCGAGATGGTAATCCCTTTGTGTTTGTTTGAAAACATTTACGGTTTTCCTTTTGATTCGTTTCACTGAAATTGCTCCTCCGTGGATTACATGACGTCTTCAATAATGATCTAATGGATTGCCAAATAACAACAGTGATATCATTGCGGTGAATGGATAATGGATTAATCGTTCACACAGCCGTGCTCACCAGGTTTTTCATCGAGTTTCTTCGTGTTTCAAAATGCACCATCCGTTTCATTGGTGGCGTATGACTCTTTTTCGTGTAAACTGTCAGTCCTTGAATGTGATAAAAATGAATTAGGGACAAATTAAGTGCGTCAAACACTGGGAACGCAATTAACCGCAATTGGAATCCCAAGGCTTTCAGAGCATGTGTGTACGTGTTCCCTTCTCTAAATGAACATTCATAATAAAAGACGACGTCCTTAAATAAACCATTGTGTTTGAATGATTTGGTGATTCTTATTGGTTGTGTTTCAGACTATGAAAATGGGTAACAGTCATTCGGAAAATTAAGAAGACACAATTGCCAAAGGAATTTCATGTCAGGTGAATTTGTCAAAAATCTCTCTTTTGAAGGCATTGCAGTCATTCAGTTAACCATGTGTATTGCATGCGTGTCTCTCATTGTTTGTTTTCATTCCGTCGACCAGATTGCGTTTATGGGTGTCAGATGTGGAATAAAAAACAATTAAGGCAAGTTTTTCGCAGCGTTTCGTGAAGCTTATCCCGTTCAAGTTAAAGCTCAATTTTAATGCACTGTTCTTTTTTGTCAGACCCAATTACTGAAGACCAAGATCTTCTGCTGTCAAGACACACGGAAATAAATTAGGCTTTGTTCCACTCATATGATTAGTAAGGAAAACCAAGTATTTTTAAGTAGAGTAATTCAATAAGGAAAACATAATGTTTAATATCTCTACTTCAACTTATATGTACCACAAAGAAGAGAACCTACAAGTGCAAAATCGCACACATTGATTACTAAGAAATGCAAGCAACAGCAGTCGAATTGTTCAATTTTAATCTGTTTTATGATCAAACCTACAAATAACCCTATATAAATGATTTCTTACTCGGTAACGAACGTACCAACAATCACAACCAAGTTCAGATATTATACAACAAGGGATTACGAAAAAAACGGGGATATTGAACACTTACCGGATTCCGCATGATTGTTCATCTTCCGCTCGATGACAACCGAAGTGAGTCTGTTACTTGAAACTGAAAATTAGTTACAATGTTTGTTTAGAGCAATACCTAAACGATGTGTTTCTGATATTGTGCCAAACAATATGAAACGAGAATATTCACACTGTAGTAAGCAAACACATTATCAGAGAATCCCTGCCAGCGCTACAGTGAACTGCTACTTTTATGATGTCAAGGGTGATAACAACAATGCTTTCCCATGCCATCTGGTAACAAGCTTTAAAAGTGCCAATCCACTAAGATTGATTCGAGAAACATCTATAGTAACTTGACCATGGTGTTGGCAATGGGACTCAGATTCACTAACACAAGGGTCTGCGTTATGCTGTTCTGATTTAAGGTGAATTGAAATTATGGATTTTTTTCCGAAAATCAATTGATGATGTGAAAAATTCACATTGGAACCCTTCCGGTTTTGACCCTATGCTAACTCAGCAGGTAAGCAGTACGATGACAATTCGTCATGTGAATGAAGCAAATATGTAATGTATACGATGATTGCCAGTTTTCAATGTGAAACGCTTGTTGAATGTGATGAGAAAATCTCTGAAAAATATTTCATATACTTGTGCACGTTTGATTGATTTAATTTGAGTCTTAGTACTGTTTGGTTCCCATAAGGTAACTAGTGGTGAGACAAGTTTCGATTGATTACTGGTACAAGAAACGAAAGCAGCCGAATCTGAAACAGTAAAAGGTATCGCGTCTCTGCTGGAGAAATCGCAAACATTCCAATCGTTGTTGTAAATTTTTTGACACGACGCTTAAAGTGGTTCATTGCTTGTCTAAGTACAGTGAGTTGTTTGGACGAAGACTCGTGTAATTCACAAAAAATGAGCCTTTGTGAGAATTCGTAGATCAGTAAAGTGAAATATACAAACCCCGTTTTCACTATTTTGAACACGAAGGATCCCAGTATTCACAAGTATTGTGCGCACTCTGGTGACTAGAATAGATCGATAATTTTAGTGGTTTATTGTTCGCATTCAATCTTTCACTTTTGAACGGAAAAATGGGGAAGCATGCGGCTAGTTTTTAAATGACAATAAAGATTCAAACTAAGATTTTGAACCGGTTTTTAGTCTACACTTTTTAATTGTAGTTTTTCCACTGCCTCCCATGTAATTTGATAACTTTTGAATATGATCAGTTGTTTTAGGAACTGGCGGACACAAATGTGATACTTGTTTTGTTACATTTCCGTAATATGTATAAAACCAGATACTGCTCTTCGCCAAGTCTAGAGAACGGTAATTGTGAAATGAAAACCTCGGAAGTAATGCACAGTTGTATCGACCTTGTTTGGTTTCACCAGCGGTTCGAATCGACCTACCCAACTGAGATACGAATGACGAACCCCGGGAGTAGAAAATAAGGATGCTAACTATGTAACTACCGCGAAAAGTCTTTGTTTGGCTTTACGTGTTTCAGAAAAACTCATCTTTGCCAGCTCTTTATCTCCGGTGCGTTTCAGTATATAACAACGAAAGAATAACAGGACTCACGTGAAGATGAAATTTCACTCAGATTGTCTAACGAGATCGAGTTCTGTGGTCTTACGTGTCTTGTTACCGGAACTTGTTGCTTGAAGTCGGAACAGAGAAAAAATTGGCGTGAGTTAGATTGAGATAATAATTAAAAATGAGTTTACGGCACTTTCGCACAATACTTACCCATTTCGTTTCAGCCAACTGGATTGGAATGGTTCGCTCACGGGTAGCCGAATTTCCTTTCGAGCTCGTTTTAACATGCAGGGTATTTTGAGCTGCTATATGAATGAGAAAAGATACCAATGGATGTCGATATGTTAGACAAATCGAAAGATCACATAAACTATGTCCTTTTTTTTAGGAAATATACATATCATGGGCTTACATCAACTAGCAGAAAATTTTGTGGAAAACTTGATGATCTGATTCACTTTGGCGCTGCATGTGGAAAGAGTAACTTTGAGGCACAACATACCTCAACGTTGTAACTGAAATGAGGTACGAAGAAAACGTGATCGTCTTGCAATCGATTTGTTAGCTGACGATATTAAATCTCTTTTGTCCGATGATGTAAGAAAATGAGTTCTTGTTTTCCGATAAACTCAATCAAAATGTTTCACATATTTAGATAAGTCCGATCAAACAAAATGAACTTGAAGTAATTACGCTTGTAGACGGTGGATATTTTTTGGTCTGAATAAACAATAATAATACTCAATTGTTAATCATTTCCCATATGGTGTTCCAGTTTCACCACGGTTATCAACCGAATCCAACCCATAAACTTCAACTCCAACTTTCACAAATAGTGTTTCCTTGTAAGTTATGCTTCTTTATTTCATGAGAACGAACTTAGATGCAGACGGCTAAACCTTGTTCGTACTTATCGTAAAATTCAAAAGCTCTGAGTTCCGTCCTTACCTTTCAGAGCAGACTCAAAGTGTCGTTCGCAGTACGGTCGACCGCCAAGCCACGAATCATCACCAATGCTAAATGGGTAAAGAAGTACAAGTATGCAGCAATTTCAATAAGAATTAAAGTAAATGAACGATACATATTCAGTGAGACCACATTGTTTGAATTTTTCTGCATTTGTGGGCATATGGGACAAGACTGATTGAAATCAATGGTATATACCACGTGTTTGTTTCCTCTTTTTTATCATAAAAACACCTGAATTTGTTCTACTATTTCTCCATAATATTCCTTGCAAACGAATATGAATTAATTCCAATATCCTTAGTGTGTTTTCCACTTGTTATTCGTTCGCTTGCAAAGAAGATTCATTAATTTGGATTTATAAACACTGAAGCATCGATTGGCGTTCGAAAAACCATAAATGTGTAACAACAATGTAGTTTGTAAAACGCATTCATAGTGTGAAGTTAATATAGTACGATCAAAATTAGTTATTGGTTTACAGCAATCGGAATAATTCCCTTTTAGGGTTATGATAGGAAGGAAACAATTGCATCAACTATTAAGCATATTCTGTTGTTCGATGTAATCAGTGGAGGAATAGCACACGGGCAACATGAGTTCATTGGTTCTAAATAAATTCACGAAAATTATCTGCCAACCGGCTAAAAAACACTCTTAATTTTTCTGTGCAAGAATTCTTGTATTGATCAAATACTACACTACAGAGACTGAGATCAGACTATCGATCGAAGAATAAAAAATTCAAATGTCAGTTCAACAAATGCAAGGAAAAACATGATTAGGATAAAAATGTGCACGTCCCCGTGGATTATTCTGAATACTGATTAATAGATGACGGGTGGAATGCGCACATCGATATGTCATTTCATAGAAAGTCTCCCTAAATCTATAAAATATACCATCAGATTGGTACATTATAAAGCGAGACAGATATATCTTGTTTGCCTTTCCCGCTTGACTACCTCATCACCTGTCTTTCTCTACTTGTACCCAATTCAGTCAACTATTTTTTCCAAGTTCAATACTGGCACTTAGTTCTTGTGTGATCAGTTGTGCATGTCGTTTCAGCTGATCGCGCTCTGTTCGTCGAATGTTGTTTCGGTTACAGCTACGCCGTTCTTGATTACATTGGATACTACTCAATCGCATGATTTACAGCGTACATGTACGACGTCATGGCTTTCAATTTACCATATGTCTTCCCTTTTCAAGTCAAGTCAAGTAAAGCTTTATGCACCCGATAGGATGAATTTTCAGCATTTTCGACAAGTTACAGTGAGGGAAACCTCTATTTTTGTGACACTTAGTGATCTGCCTTTTCTTCTTCTGTCTTGTGACTCGCCTGTTTCTTATGAAAGCATGAACACATTACATGTTTGATATCTATTTTTACCGGTTTTTGTTCCTTATTATTCCAGTTTTCAACCTGGTTGCTTGAGAATGCGTATAGGACTGAACACCAAGTTAACTGCACCATTCGTACGTCTGGAGATCAGAAAAACAAGTTCGAAGCACTAACGATCTCATTAACATTCTCGCACAGGTAAACCTGCTTAAAATACCTAGCTTACTTCGAGTTAATGAAAACAAAACTAGTGCCGTACGCTCTCCGCATTATTCTAAATTGAATAATCGTCAATGGGAGTACGCGTTGCTTACACCAGCTATTTAGGCTATGCAAATCGAGTGCACAGGAAATTTGCCGCTTGGATTAGCTTTTGAATCGGAATGATAAATGGATTTGGCTCGGTGTTTTTTCGCACGAACTCGTCGAGGTCAGGAATCGTACACCGTGGATTGCTAAGAACAGCAACAACAAGAACACAAGCTGTAAAATAGTGTCTCCACATTTTTACACCCGGAAAATTTGTTTTCTGCTCCACTATCTCTGCTTAAAAATAACATTCCGCCATACAGCTTTCTTTTTCAATCTGAGATATGGCTTCGGTTTTCAACGGTTGATTTCACCACAATCCAATCATCTTGCATACCGGTAACTGATTTACATAAGTTTTGTTACTTGTGTATACACCCACACAGACTGACAGACATTCATGTGCTCGTGTGCATATGTGCAAATTGTGAACGAAGCCAACAGAAACATGGTTCCGGTCGTCTCGTGCTCTATGATCAGATCATACGCATAATTCATACCACCGAAGTGTGAGTTGTGAATTTTCATCCTGGAATTCAATAAGTTACCGAGGCCAAGGAGTGCATGTTTTGCTCAAAAATGATTCATATTCCCACTGATCGCATGACAGAGTTGGTATTCGATAATCCCCGGACAAACCTGGGCAAGAAACAGGGTTCGCATGAGAAATAAACCATAGTTCACAAAGCCCTGTAGTTTGTCCAAGCATTTGTTTAAGGTTATGCACCGAAACCGAGAGTTCAACGGAGATTTGTCCCATCCGCTGCGATACCCCAGCATCAAACAACTTTTATGTTTCAAGTGAGTAATGGAGGATTTGGTTAAATTTCAAAAGTGGATTCGCCGTGTATATGGAAAGTGAAGCGTGAACTGAAAAGCTAGGAAGCACTGGACAGCTGTTTCGACCTGGGTTGGGTGTGGATGGAAAGTGAAAAACGGTCTGATCAGCTGGCCGGTGGCCAAGTTGGAAGCATGCTTGCGTTTTGCTTGTGATGTCCCGGGTCGATAGAATCGCACTGCTGATGAGACCCAACCAGGTCAAATCAGCTGTCCAGTGCTTCCTAGCTTTTCAGTCCACGCTTCATTTCTCATTTACACGACGAATCCACCTCTGAAATTTTGTTTGTCTGTCTGTTTGTTTTTTTGTTCGTTTGTTCGGTGCGTAAGC